TATGTATGTATGTATGTATGTATGTATGTATGTATGTATGTATCGTCCGGATTTCTTGCATTGTTTTCATGGCGACGTCTTACGCGATTTTGTACAGGGAGGCAGTTCTTCAGCAAAATAAAATCAAAGTTCAGCAGCTACCCCAAAAAGAGGTGGAAAGATTTGTCAAAGAGAGAAAAGCACTTAGGACAACCGTTTATGTAGTCGGCGCTGTTTTGTTATGCCTTTCCCCAGGGGCCTTAACATTTTTGTCTGTTTTAACAGACAAAAAAGGAGAACAGAACAATACTTATTTGGCGCCGTGGGTCTGTATGTTTGTCACGTTGAACTCTCTCCTCAATCCACTGATTTACTGTTGGCCACAGAAAGAAATGCGTCAGTTTGTATTCTTCTATCTAGCTTTAGCGGCTGTAAATGAAGGGAACGAAATAGTTCACCGCTAAAACGTGACAATTTCCATAAATGGACGCGTATAATTTCCCTGTTAACAGAATAAGCAGATTCTGGGAACACTTCCAATAATCTAGATTTCCGTTGGAAACCAACCGAGTGGCAATCTCACTCTCCCGAAGAACAGTTTTGTGCGACTTACATATTGTTTTAATTTCTTAATGTGGTTATGCTGAGAATAAACCAATGGGTTTGGTTGATACTGTTACAGCCTCGCCCGCCTTCGTGGGTATTGTAATTTTATTAAATTTAGATTTCTTATCAGATTTTTTTGGTAGATTTTGGGTTGCGCCTCGCATGGGATACTTTTCCCTTTTGCGCAATCCCTTTTTGGTCTTTTTATTTCTACTATTGATTTACTATATATGTATATAGTTAACTTATGAGACAAATAAAGTTAATAGACTAGACTAGACTGACTAACCTTTAATTTGGTTACGAGAGAGTGGTTACTACTTAGTGTACGCCCTCCGCGCCAACTGCAGCTTGTTAGCCGAGTCGTTTGAGAACTGTTTACACAGACCTTGAAAATGTAAAGAAAGTAGCAGATAAATGACGGTTCAGTCAGGCAATCGAACTTTTCTCAGAGAGCAGGTCGGGCGGTGTCGAGCACGACTCGCAAGACATGCTGGTGATATTTTCTAGTGAGCTCATTTCCATCTGATAGTCGAAAGGCAAACATCTCCTGAAATGAGATTGCAATATCAGGGTCCCTTTAATGCTAAAAGAAATCTCGGAAGATATCCAAATGACAAATGACAGCCGTAAATATCCTCTGCTGGATATTCATAATGCAGCCATTTCTTTGCAGTACCTTCAATCTGTACGGTTTAATTTAAAATTCCTCTTCCACTGCTAAAAGAGAGACAAGGCCGAGCATTGATTTCCGGAGTGCTCGCCACTCGAAGCGAATGAATGAAAGAAGAGATGTTGAGGTTCCATGCCAATTCACTCGCTACGCAATTCCAACCACAACGCCTTCGCTACGAAAACTTTATTTCGAGAGGCTCGTCCAAACCATCGTGGACACTTTCACGTTTCGCATAGTACGTTGGGTAACCATAATTAGCCCGACGAGGGTGGTCAGAATCGATTTGTCGACAGCCAATGGCAGTGGAAACCCACACAACGATAACTATCCGAAATCGCGTTAGATCGGCCTGAGGAGCTGGCAAACAACAAGGAATAGCTGGTTTTCACATGACGTCACTAAAATTCGAACTAAAAAACTATTGATCTTCCTGAGATTTTATTTTAATGATGTATAAGAGCAGCTGAAAACTAATATTCATACA